CGTAATTGTTAATCTAAGTATTTCCGGGCTTCTTATCCCTATGGAGGTTACATCTTGACTCCCTGTGTTTCTCCTACCCAGAGTCCTCCTGGAATCCTAGTACCACCTATCTTGCTTCCCTATTGGCCAACAGTGCTTTATTGACATATACACAGGACTTCCCCAATAGCTGAGCATTTTGTTCAATTTTGTTGGTATAATTAATCATTACTTTTTAATTTTTGAGATTATAATTTAATTACAGTATTTCACCCTTCAAACCCTCTTATATACCCTTCCTTCATATTCATGGCCTCTTTTTTTACTAATGGCCTGCATAGACACATATTTGCATATGCATGTATATACATATGAATTAATTTCACATATACTTGGACTAGGCTCTTACTCCCGCTGTGCACATTGAGCTTCTGCAAGTCCTCTCTTGTATAGCCTTACTTGTGGGATTTCTGCTCTTGTATGACTTGACATTTTTTAACCTGTCTTTACAATCTAGGGGGAAGTAGTGTGCATGATGATCTCACTTCTTTCACCAATCTAAGAAGCGTGTTTGGTTTTCCTCATTAGCTTTTTTTCTTTATAGGATGGACCACTGACTTCCGAGTTTCTTTTATCTCCTTCAAAAGCTATGTTTTTTTCTGGTTATGCAGGCTTTCAGGGAGTAAAAGATTTTCCTTTTGAACAGTCTGTTTTCCTCTTTGGGACTGTGGATTTGATCTCATATTCAAGTATTCTCCCTTCCTTTAGATCTTGGCGATTTCTTCCCACTTTTTCTTTTAATCTAAAATTTATCAATAAATATTTTTACATTTAATCACCTAGGTCAATGATTGCTTTTAGCTTTTTTTTTTTTTTTTTTTTTAAATAAGGTGCCAGGTTAGGGTTGAGAAGGCCAGTGTTTTCTCCTTTTGACCTTTGCCAGAAGTCAGGTAAGCATAGTTGAATCTATTTTGAGGTGCTGTCTCTTTGAACCAATACTCTGCAGTTCTGGTTTGATAATATGGTGTGTGTGTGTGTGTGTGTGTGTGTGTGTGTGTGTGTGTGTGTGTGTGTTTTGTTTAAGCAGGTTTGGCTGTCTTTTCTACAATATTGCATCATCACCTTTCTTTGCTCTCTGATAAGGAGGAGTTGTGTGTTTTTTTTTTTGAGTGTTGAATAGGTCTCTGGTTTTGTCTTTTTCCTGTTTTCCTGTGTTACCTGGTTGGAGATGGCTTCCGTCATCTCCACTGTACTGTGGAGCTGAGTGAGGATGTTTTAAATTTTATTTCTTCCTTCTGTAATTTCTATCTGATTATTCTTACAGCTTGACTCACTTGGTTAAGTCTTGTATTTTTACAGTTGTTTCAAGAGAATTTATATTTCATCGCTAAAGTGTTTTTTACTGTGGCTGCTTAAAACCCCTACCTTGTTAATGCTGGTCCATGATTGTCTTGGTACTAATATTAATTATCCTTCCCATTAAAATTATGATTTTCTTGGTGTATTTTCCCATTGAACCCTATCTACTTTATGTGTTATGTTAGGTTTGGGACCACTTTAATCTGTTACTGTCATAAGTAGTTATCTTGTTTAGTTTTTCAGCAGGTAGATCTCAATCTGTTTCGATGGGATACTGTTCCAGTGGCAGTTGAATTTTTTTGCACTGTTGTTTTCATTTCTTTGTTTTATTAGATAACTCTTGGGCTCCCAGTGGTTCCTACTTGTGCTACCTGAGAAGGCAGCGCATTCTTTCCTAGGTCAAGTCATGCATGCCTACTGGAGGGGAAGCGTGCGTGGGACTTTCTTACCACATTCTGCTCGCCCGATGTCTTCAGGATGGGGAAGACATGTGGGCTCTTGTATTGTGCAAAAGCCGGGCCCTTCCCTTCTTCCCTGCCTGCCTGTTCTAGAGGCTCCGAATGAGGCAGGACTTCCTCAGATCTGTGAGTACATAAAGTACCCATGTTTCAGTCAAACACATTAAATATATCCTCAGAGCCTCCAAGTAGGTTGGTGTCTTAGTAAGGAGAGAAAACTCAGTAATTCCCGTACTTTAATTTGACCCCAGAGTGAACCCAAGTTTGGATTCTCCACTCCTCTCCCGTGCCTTCCATCTGTCTATTGTTTGTATTTGATATTTGTATCTGACCCTTTCCTTAGAAAGAACTTTGTTCTGTCTTTATTTAACAATGCAGGAAGCATCACATGGGAAAGGCATGAGGGATGCTTTACAGAAATCAGTAACAGTTTACAAGGGATTAAGTCACTGACCCCAGCTGAGTTGATAACAAGATAACAAGCATTATTGTGAGCATATGGTTATCAAGCAATATCCATAGGCTGCTTCCAACATTTATGGTGGATATTTGTTGATTTCTAGCTATGGGCTGTTTTCAGGAAATGATTGCTGTGAAACATATACACATGCATTGATCTAGGTCAGCATGAAAGAGCACATAATTTAAGATTACAGCTGTGCAGCTGGGCATTGGCGGTGCACGCCTCTAATCCCAGCACTTGGGAGGCAGAGGCAGTCGGACCTCTGTGAGTTTGAGGCCAGCCTTGTCTATAGAACGAGTTCCAGGACAGCCTCCAAAACAATACAAAGAAACTCTGTCTCGAAAAACCAAAACCAAAAAAAAAAACAAAACAAAACAAACAAAAACAAAAACAAAAAAAAACCCAAAACCAAAAAAACCACCACCAACAAAAAACTTCAGCTGTGCATTAGATTAGGTGGTAAAAACTGAGTACATAGGAAATCCAAGGCTGTGAGGTTACATTAGTCTCACACAGGCAGAGTAAACAGGCTGGATACACAAGTGAAGTCTGCTTAATCTCAGTGAGCATCATGACCTGGCTGTGAGCCCAGCCAGCCTCCCCTCTCAGAGTGAAGAGACATTTCATAAAGATGTCTCCACATCCCCGCTCGGGTCGCTTTCTGTAATCAGGTCTCTCTTCCGCCTCCCTTCCGCTTGCCTTGGTTGTTGCGGTAGAAAAGGTGAACCATGGGCTGGTTTGCACTCTACTTCACCACTGTTCCCTGGTGACTATTTCAGATACTCTGGTTTGGTGTTACTGCAAACACTAGTCCTGCATATATCCCATCTGTCATGAATAGGGTAGTTACATGTAGTGTATCGGTCTGCTAGTTACCGATTTGTCATATCAAACAGTTCAACAATTAGCCACAGTCAGTTCCTTATGGAGTTGACTCCTTTGTTTTTTGTAGTGTATTGATCTGATAATTCCTTAAACATTTGTCATGTCATACAGTTAGACAGCTATACAGTTAATTTAGTAAGGAGTTGACTTACTTTAAAAATATTTTTATTCTATTTTTTCCTAAAGAGAGGTACATATATATTCTAACCTAGAATATTAATAAACATAAATAAGCACTTAGGACAGGTTGGACCATTTCCCAGATTCTGCCAGATTCTGTTTCCCATTTGTTCTCTGAGCTCTACATAAGTTTGGAAGCTTCTGATAGTAGAAATAAAAAAAATGCTTATCAAGATGCATTTAGAAGCAGAGATGGTATTTATGCTGCATTAGGACGAAAATGAACCACAACCTTAGATTTTTTTTTTTAGAAATATAAATAGTCTCAACATTTCGTCCCTCAAAAGTATTCTTTCTTGTTTGGCTGAACATGGGGTGAGAAGTATGTTTCCACTAGCTGCAAGTAAAAATAGCAACAACAACAAAAAAATCATTGTCAGTTTTTGTGGGGATTGAACCAGGGGCTTCTATATACTAGAAAATATTCTACCTCCGAGCTAAACCCAGACTCAGAGTCATTGTATTAAAGTTGATGTCTGGGACCAAAAGCTGGAAACATCCTGTTTGACACTCAGGTGAGTGAGTAAGGTGGCCTCTGTAGTTATGACTCAGGTGAGGGAGGTGGTCCCTGTGTAGTTGAGTATTGAACTCAGAGATCTGCCTGCCTCTGCATCTCGAGCACTGGGATTAAAGGCGTGCGCCATCGTGCCCAGCCTTGGAATTTATTTTTAATTTGATTTTGGGCTGTTAGTTGCTGACACATGAGCATTAGGCCGTGTTAACCGTGAGCCCTGTGCTGTGTGATCACGTGAGTGAGAAGAGCCGCAGAGGGAGGGAGGGTGACACCTGGTCCTTGGCTTCCTTCTGTGTCTCACTGTCCTTGGCCTCCTTCCGTGGGCCTTTGCTGACTCTGAGCGCGCGCGCGCGCGTGTGTGTGTGTGTGTGTGTGTGTGTGTGTGTGTAGAAGCTCCTCACCTCTGGTCCTTGGCCTCCTTCCGTGGGCCTCTGCTTACTCCGAGCCTTCTGTGTGTGTGTGGAAGCTCCTCCCCGTGGAAATACGGAGTCAGAGAGAAAGGACAGGGCCAGGGATGATCTCTAAAAACACACTGTAGTGACTGACTCGCCTAGTGAGGCTCCCCATGTAGCGGTTCCAGCACCTCCTGATCGCTGATCGCTGGGGAGAGGACGTGTAGCGCATGAGCCCCTGGAGGACATTTCCCATCCTCGGTCGTGCATTCTGACTCATCCTGATGCCGCATGAAGTCTTTCCTTGCGTCGTCTGTACTGAAGTGGTGTCCTGCAAACGGAAGTCACTTCACCTCTTACTGGTCTAGTCTGTTCTCTTTAATTCTGTTTGTGTGAGGATGTGTGTCCCTGTGTGGGTGTGTTCATGTTTGTGCGGGCACCTGAGGCCTCAGAGGTGTCAGATCCCGAGCTGGAGTACAGGCTGTGGTGAGCCACCCCCCGCGAGTGTTGAGAACGGACTCAGGTCCTCCGGAAGAACAGTGTACCGACTCTCCTGTCCCTTTCCTAGGAGCCTGAAGTTTGCAGTGCCACCCAGTACCTGGAGCCTGCAGTGTAACAGCAGCACAGTGCACATGCCCAGCTTCTTCCTCACCTTTGGGAGAAGACACCTAGTGTCACTTTTAAACTCTTAATAAAACAAAAATTGCCCATGCTTTTGCTCTGAGGATTAATTTCCTGCTAATGGAGACTTCTTATGTTTATGTCCACAGATATGCGCTGACTAACAGGCTCACTTGTGTGGCATAGAGGACAAGCAGTACCTTACAAAATGGGATTTGGGAGTGACCTGAAGAACTCACAGGAAGCTGTGTTAAAGTTGCAAGACTGGGAATTACGGTTACTGGAAACAGTGAAGAAATTTATGGCTCTGCGAATAAAAAGCGATAAAGAATATGCGTATACGTTACAGAATCTTTGTAATCAAGTTGATAAAGAAAGTACTGTGCAGGTGAATTATGTCAGTACTGTGTCCAAGGTAAGAGTGGTTTCTGTTGTTGTATATAGCATCTATTCAGTATTATCCACGTAGATCATGCTGTAGAATGAGCATACCCGTGTCAAATCACAGTGTTGTAAATTTCTCTTGATGCTGTTTTATCTGCATCCTGTGCGTGTTACAAACGTGATGCATGCCTGCATATGGGGATGTGTGTGCCTGCATGTGGAGGCCAGAAGAGGAGACCTGCTGTCTGCTGTGGCTTTCCACCTTAGTCCCCTGACTTAGCCTGGCCTAGCCTGCCGCTAGACTGGGCAGCAGGCTCCTGGGATCCACCTGTTTCTGCTTTAAAACACCGACATTCCAGGCACATGTAGTCGTGTCTGGCTTTTTTGTGCAGGTATATAGGGATTTTCACTCAGACTTTCAGGGTTGCACAACCATCACGTTCCTGAATCCTGTAAATGTTTATATGGTACTTTAATATCTTCCTGGTTCACAATATATTCTAATGTGGTTATTTGATACTATTATTAGATGTAATTCAATTTGTTATTTCAACATTCACTTTCTCTTTGTACCATCTTCCTTTAATTTTGTTTTTCATTTATTTACCCCCTTTAATTGAGTTTTTCCCTGACTGTCCTGAAACTCACTACATAACCAGGCTGATCTTGAACTCACAAGAGATATGCCTGCCTCTGCCTCCCAAGTTCTGAGATTAAAGGTGTGCACACTATGCCCAACCTTAAATTTCTTTTTAGTGGATATGGTATTAAGTGATGTTTTGAAACCTTTCTACCTTGTGTAATGTTTAAAATATGTAACTATATGAAACAAGTCACTTTTCTTTAGTTGTGTGATTTCTGGAAGGTAGTAGACCACATTGCAGGCAGGTCCCACTCCTTAGAGTAGTTGGCAACACAAATTGGACTTTGGTTAAACAAATAATAAGTTGGGTGAGTAGGGAGGTGATACTAGAGAGGGGCTAAATATGACCACAGGAAATTCCATGCCATTCTCAAAGAATTAATAAAAATATTAAAAACCCTTCATGTATTTCTTTTTGATAAAAATATTCAAAGTCCTCAGACCCTCACACTTTTTTTAAGTCTAGTAGACAGTGCTTGGTAGGCCAATAAGTTACGTTTAATCTCTACAGTTTCTCCAATCATGAGGTGAAAGCAAGAGGTAGTTTATCAGGAACAACAAAGGTAACGGAACGGTACATGACCCAGAACACATACTGGAAAAAGGCCAGTCTCTGAAATTAAAGTCGTGGAAAAACTGCGTAAATGACTATCACTCACAATACTCACAGTTAAAAAGGCAAATGGGATTTCTCATCCTAACTTTGATTTCTCTGATGGTCAGGTGAAGGTCCCATGTTAATAATGAGTAAATCAGACATCCTGTTCAGCCATGCTTTTTTTGTCTTCCATTGCTTCTACTCAATAGTTTGTTTCTTCTGGTTTCCTTGACGTATAGGATGTCGTCATGGTAACTGTTTAGTTATCCTGATGTCCTACCATGTGTGCTGCTTTTGTGTCATTCCTGTTCTCCCCTCCCCCCTGTGGTGCTGGGGATCAGACCCGGGGAGCTTTTTGTATGCCAGGCAAGCATGCTGCCACTGAGCTGTACCCTCAGCCTTTTCTGGCTTAGCTTTCCTCCTTATTTTAGTGGCACTTTCCTGCATTGTCTGTCTAATTATCCGTGATTTGCTCGCAGGCATCGTGTACTTTGCATTTTATCTTGTTAGGTGTGTTTGTTGTCTTTACATACTCTTGAATTTTGCTTTGATGCAGCTGAACCACTTGTAGACAGGGTAACCCTCTTCTTGCTTTTGTATTTGTTCGGTTCAACTACGATTGATTTAATTTCTGACCACTTTATCTTCTCTATCTACATAGCAGTCTTACTCAAAAGAGTGTCCAGTATTATACAAATGTAAAGTGAGTTATGGGCCGGTGAGTTCTCAGGGGGTTTCTTACCATCTTTTGTTGTTGGGTGTTTTCTAGGTGTAGTGGTTTCGTCACACAAACAAGCTGTCGAGTACTCACCTCTGTAATTGAGGGAGAGTCTGTGTAGGTCTCCAGAATTTTTCCTTTGTGTCCTTCTCTCATTTGTAATGCTATGTCCCTGTTTTTCTCTCTTGGGGACCATAAGTACTGCTAGTCCACTGTGTATTTTGGCCTCTTACTGTTCTGAAATCAACTCTTCTCAGCTGGACATTACTGGGGTTTTGCTTAATTGTGACCTAGACTTTTTTTTTTAACCAAGATAGCTTTAGTAGTGTTAGGGCTTAGATCATGATTTGTAGTCTCTGAGGGATCACTGTTTTATTTACTGATGTCTCTTGGATGCTGTTAATTTTATATGTTTTTGTCTAGGTATCATTTTAGGTAAGTGGATAAATTAATATTTGTTTTTTCACTGTCATAGGAAGTCTAACAATTTATGAGTTAAGGATATATCATGTCCCTTTATTCCAAAATATTTGTGCATGTGTTTTCTAAGAGTATATCTGCTATATAATGAGTCAAATTAGAATAGTCTAGTCATAGTACGTGTCACTGTTAAAATATTGTTAAAAATCAGTTTCTTGGTCTGGTGAGGTGACTCAGTGGCTGAAAGCGCTTGCTGTGTATTCTAACAACTCGAGTTCAATCCCTGGAAGCCTTGTGGAAAGCTGAGTGTGGTAGTGTGCACCTGTAATCGACAAGGAGATGGCAGCCAGAGAGCCGCCAGTCACCTGCAGTGTGAAGCATGGCAGCAGGAAGGAGGTCCTGCCTCAGTGAGGTGGGAAAGAGAAGCAGCTCCTGCGGGTTGGCCCCTGACTCCCTACATAGCCCCTTCAGTAACACGAGGGACGCCCTGACCTAGCCTCATAACCAGCTTTCCCCTGCAGTTCCATTTCCTTCCAGAGCAAGCTGGCATTATAGGCTTTATGTGGGTCCTGGGGGTCCGGATCGCAGTTGTCTCCGTGCTGATGTGATATGCATTTCTCCACCGAGCCGCCATCTCCCAAGCCTCCTGCCCTTACCCACTGTTCCAGTGATGGCCCCTTCTGGAAAACGTTGCTTTTCTTACCTTGACGCACAATTAAGTCTGGAATCAGTCATTGCATTTAGGTTTTGTCTTTCCAGTGAACTTTAACGTGAAACATCAGCAGGAAATACAGTATAGACTTAACTATTATTATTTTTTTACTTGAAGTTGTTTTTAAGTGTACGCATGCCGTCTTTATTCCCAAGGGCATGCATTTGAATGGCTTGCTTTTCCATTAGCTCTGCTTTGGTAGGAACTTTAATAGCTGGAGATGGAGGCCTGCCTGTGCAGCTGTCGTTGCTCCAGCTGCGGGGCTCTGCCTCAGCACCACCCCACCTCTTGGCATAGAGAATTCCCACGCTTCTCAGAAATGTTCCTTTGTACCACCCTGGACTGAATCCTTTTCCCTGGGAGGCCCGTTTTCTTTGGAAGAGAAGATCTGAGCATAAAACCAGTTTAGAAGTTCTACAATGTTTGGCAGTTACGAATACTGTTGTAGAAGTACCATTACATAGAGACATTTCTGTATTTCATGGGTGTATTCATGGTAAATGCATACATGTGGACTTTCTAGGTCAAAATATAACTGTATTGTTTTGTTATATGTTACCAAAATGAAGTTCCTATGAGTCTTGTGCCATTTTGCATTCTTACCAGATCTGTATAAGCCTGCCAGTGTCTACCTGCTCACACTGCAGAGTTTTTCTGATCTTGTAGGTACTAAATGCAATGTACTATGGTTTTATCATGTATTTCTCTAAAAGCAAACATAATTAACTACATTTTCCATGCGTTTAACATTTGTTCGAAACAGATTTATTTTTATGTACATGCATGTGTATGTATGCACACATGCTCATTGCATGCAGGTATCTGCAGAGTCCAGAAGGGTGTGTTAGGTCCCTTAGAAGTGGAATTGCAGGTGTTTGTGAGTGGCTTGTTGTGGGTCCTGGCAGGGGAACTTTGGTCTTCTGCAAGAGTAGCAACAACTGTAACCACTGAGCAATCTCCCCGCCTACTGTAGCCATTTTATTTCCTTCGCCTTACTCTGTACAGAGGACCATTTTTACTTCGTGTTTTGTTGGTCATTGAAGTTTCAGCTGTCCAAGTACATTGAACTCTGTCTCTATACATTATAGTGATATAGGTAATCCTCAATAATACAATTTATTGGGAGGAAAATAGTGACCTTTTAAACAAAGTAGATACAAATATTAGCAGTACTCACATACTGCACTGAAAAATGTTTTTGATGATCTAGAATTAATACTTAGTATCCACATATGTATGTAATATATTTATTATATGTAATACTATATCATTTGTATTATGTAGTTCTCGGGAGATAGAGTTAGTTCCTATAAAACATTTGATTTGAAATGTGAATTTGCTGTAACCCAAGTGGTTTCTTAAGGAACAAGTTGAGCCCTCTGTATTTTCTAATGTGTGGGAGTAGAGGAAGCCCTAGGTTAATTCATGAACCATATCCAGTTGAACCCAGCTGGTGTGGAATGGGTTTCAGACATGCGCTGCAGTCCTTTGCCGGCTGTCCTTGCTTATTCTTTTGTTAGAAGCCAAACTCATCTGCATGTGGCTTAGTAGCCTGCTCTTCTCCTTAGATAATCTTTTCTGCCACTCCAAGGAGCTCACGGGTGGAAACCTTCAAAAACCCATCTTGACAGGTATATTTCTAGTTTTTTTCAAGGTAAAGTGCCATATTTATTGTAGTGTATTTCTTAATCACTTAATATATTGACTATACAAAATTGCTGTATTTTTAAGTGCATCCATGATTAATGTTTGGAATGGTATCCTCCTAACACATCTATAATCCCTGTGACTTTTAGCGTATAATTTTGTACAATGAGGAGATTGTTAGTGACATAAATATTGTCTTTCAACAGAACTCGTCAGTGGAATTTCTCAGGGAGGGTTAAAGCACAGACCCCATGCTCTGTCTCAGAAGCGTGCTGCATCAGGCTTTCTGGTCGTAGAATCCCCAAACTGATGGCTTTAAAAGATTTAGTTTTTTTGATTGCAGCCAGGTTAGAGACCATTTGTAGCAGGGGAGCCAAGATTTAGCAAAAATTCAGAGAGTTTTCTTATGAGTGGGGAACATCTGAAGATTCCTTTGTACTAGGAGTTGAATCTTTGAAAATCTGTTTTAGGGAAATTTAATGAGTTGTTTTCTGGCTTTCTGTATCCCCCAGGGACTTAGAGACTCCAGCATTTTCCTTATATAACAGGCAAACTTAAATAAAAACTGTTGCTCAGAGGATCGTTTATTTTGAGTTATTGTGTAGTGCAGAAACTATGCATTCTTCATGGAATTTTAATGTAGAATTTTAGGAAAAAATCCCACCAAGATGAAAGCAAGCAAGTACTCGGAGGGTATAGTCTGTAGCACAAAGCTAGTTTTGACAGCTATTATTTAGGTGTTTTTCAAGCTTGAGTCTTCTTGTTGACTGTTTTCAATGCCTTGCTGTAATTATAGGCCTAGTAGTAGTTTGTTCTTTTACTCAGTGTCTCAGCATACATACGTTTTAGTATAATAAGCTCAGAACACTTAAATTACTACCTGTTTTGGGAAACTGATTCATCTCACCACATGTCTGCGAGTTCAAAGGTAGAAGGCACGAAAGAACATGTGCTTTTCTAACAGGTGTGCATTTTCTTAAGAAATGTAAGAGATTATCTATGTGCATGTATGTCTTTGCATCTCATGTATGCAGTGTTCATGGAGGTCAGAAGAGGGCAGAGATTCACTGGTGGGAGATTGCCTGGACCTGGAATTACAGACAGTAGTTGTGAGCCATAATGTGGGTGCTGGGAATTAGACCTGGTTCTCTGGAAGAACAGCCAGTGCTTCCAACTGCTAAGCCAGCTCAGCCCTGGAAGGCGTGCATTTTCTTCCTGTGTGTAGTTTTTGTTTTCAACAAGCTGAGCATGCAGTTGACTTTTAAAATATTATCATATCATCATTTCAGTTGACTATTGACTTCTATTGGTTTCCAAAGCACAAAGTTGTCATGTATAATCGATTGTTTTATACAGCCGGGTTGTATTTAGTACAACCTGAATAGTTGGGGAAAAGGAAGATTTTCTAAATTGAATCATTTTTAAGCTGTGACTTAAAAGTGATACATTTTATTTTTAGGTAAATCTTATTTCTCACTACAAAAAAGAGATTTAAATAATACATAAAATATTTAAAAACCACAGATTTCAGATAAAAGTAGTATTATTTGAATATTTTAACCATATTATTACAAATTCTGAATAATGTTATAAAATTTTTAAAAAAGATCTCAGATTAGTGTTTTGCTTTCCTGGGGCACAGGAAAGTGTGTGCTATCAGTATCTCTATGTTCATTTGGTGTTGTTCTCAATTACCTGGTGTTGGACTTGGATTGATTAGCTAAGATGTTTGCTCCTTAATTCCTCTTTTAATGGGAAATATAAATGGTTACCATTATTTTTAGTTAGTTAAAAACAAAATTATAGTGAGAGGTCTTACATTTTCATCTCTGTAGCTTTGTAACAAAGCATGTCATGTCAAGAATGACACAAATCTTGACCTAGAAGGACTTCTTCACTTGGATGCAATTATGCTATAAAGTAGATGGGGTGTGTTTGTGTGTGTGTATGCACATGCAAACCCCACATTCAGTAAAAATACTCCATATGGGACCGTGACCTATACTTTGAGGGGCTGAGATTTGGACAACAGACATTGGTTTTTAAAGGGGTGAGGCTAAAATATGTAATGGAGGCCATCAGTTTGTTTGTTTGTTTACTCATCTCTATCTACCTACCACCTACCTACCTACCTACCTACCTATCTCTGTTGTGTGCAGCACAGGACTTGAGAGAAGAAAGCAGCATGTATTTGATAGATCTTTTCTTCTTTGCTTTTCTTCCCCTCCCCTATTTTTCCCTTCTGTCTCAGTCAGGGTTTCTATTGCTGTGAAGAGACACCATGACCATGGCGACTCTTAAAAAGGAAACACGTTTAATGGGGTGGCTTACAGTTTCAGAGGATTGGTCCGTTATCCTCTTGGTACAACATGGTGACGTGCAAGATGACATGGTTCTGGAGAAGGAGCTGAGAGTCCTACATCTTGATCCATACGCAACAGGAAATGGACTGAACTAGGCATAGCTTGGGCATAGGAGACCTCAAAGCCCACCTCCATAGTGACATACTTCCTCCAACAAGACCACACCCACTCCAACAAGCCACACGGTCTAATAGTGGCGCTTCCTATGTGAGGTGGGCAGTGCAGAGGGGTATTAGGAGGTGTGAGGTGGGCAGTGCGGAGGGGTACAGGGTAGCACAGCATACGCCTTCATGGGGCCAGAGGGCAGCCTGACCTAGTTGTGTGGTCTTTAATGTTGGCTTCCAAGATGACTTCTCCCCTAGGTTGCCAGCATTCCTATGCAGACTCACAAGCATAAAAATGATATTTACAGAGCTTTAGAGAATGTTTGCTTCCGGATGGCAGGTTAAATACACGGACTTCTTCTGCTTAGCTTATTTACTACTATTGCCTTAATTTTCTGTAATGCTAGATGACTTTTTTCAATATATTTTTGGAATGAAAATACCAGATAAAAAGACAATCATACAAGTTGCTATTGGTATTAAGATAGTATTCATGTTTTTGTTGTTTTAAATATTTACTACTCAATTTAAATATAACTAATTAAAAGAGATGTCAATGAATTGATTATATAATTTCTTTTGTTAGTTTGCAGACAGGATCCCATACTATAGTCCATGCCAATCTGGAACTCACTGTGTAGTTCATGCTGGTCTGTGACTGTTGGCATACCTCACCCTTTTGAGTACTGAGATTACAGGCAGGAGCTGCCATGCTCAGCTTGTCAGAATGTTAGATCTTAAAGGAAGTGATGCTTTAGTTTTAAATTACTTTGTGTTGTAAAGAGCAGGTTAGCTGCCCTGTTTTCAGATTTGAAAACGAACATGATGGGTTCACAGGCCACTTGTCATTTTCCTTGTACATCACAGAGTTCCACACAGGCTCTCATGGGCATTTGAAGCATTTGTACTTGAAGATGTTGGATAGAAATCATTTTGTACAGTTTTGCAAAAACCTGCTATTTATAATGTAAAGATTGTTATAAAACCAAACATTTATAATTTTTGAACATTGAAGTCATAGTGGAAACTTTTAATATAAATGCTAATTTTCTTTATTCTCTGTTATTCTTTTTTAAAGTCTTGGCTCCTGATGATTCAGCAGACAGAGCAGCTCAGTAGGATAATGAAGACGCATGCAGAGGACCTGAACTCGGGGCCCTTGCATAGGCTCACGATGATGATCAAGGACAAGCAGCAGGTGAAGAGGAGCTATGTGGGCATTCACCAGCAGATAGAGGCGGACATGATCAAGGTTTGTCTGCTGCTCTGCGTGCTCTCGTGAATATCTTTGAATGCATGTGTCAATATGCTGTCCCGTCTGATCTTTAAACTGTCATTTCCTGACAAGACCTGTTTGGTGTCTTTAGTCATACCTTATTGTGTACAGAATATTACTGAGGACATCACTTCACTTTGTGTACAGAGAATATTAGTGATGATATCATTTCACTCCCAACGAAGAGAAAACACAACGACCCTTAAGCTGTGCCTCTGAGATTTTGTAATAACTTGGAGTATCTATTTTTTTGTTTACTGAAATAGCTCTTAGGGCTGGAGAGATGGCTCAGTGGTTAAAACCCTGGCTGTTCTTCCGGAAGACCTGGGTTCAGTTTCCAGCACTCACATGGCAGCTCATAACCATCTGTATCTCCAGTCCCTGCTGCCTTCTCCTGGCCTCCGTGATCACTGCAAGCACATGACACATAGACATGGGAGCAAAACAATCACATACATGAAATAAAATAAACTTAAAAAAAAAAAAAGAAAAAGCCAGGCAGTGGTGGTGCACACCTTTAATCCCAGCACTCGAGAGGCAAAGGCAGGTGGATCTCTGTGAGTTTGAGGCCAGCCTGGTCTACAGAGTGAGTTCCAGGACAGGTTCCAAAGCCACACAGAGAAACCCTGTCTCCAAAAACAAAACAATCAAAAAATAAATAGCTTTTAGCCTATGTAAAAAGCAAATATGTGTGTATTTCCTTGTATTAGTACTAACCTAATTAATGTATTCCTGAGTTTGTTTGTATTCAAAGTTTGTCTCTTGTGGGTAATGTCTGAACACTTTCCTGCAGAGCTTTGACTGTCCGACCAGAAGAGTGGCATGGGCCCTCTAGCCGTCCCCATGTCCTTGCTTTTTTGCTTCAGGTAGTCTCATGCTTTCCTCCAGTGTTGGGTCACTTAAAGGAAACCAAAAGTATCATTTTGTCCAAGAACATTTTAGTGTATATTGGTAAGAAGAGGATTCTTTTTGAAAGTAAGAACAATTTTGATTAATACATTTAAAAGTGACAGAAGTTAATGTTACTAAATATCTGGTGTTCAAATACTTGCAGGTTAGGTGGTTTCTACTGATTTAATTTAGTCAGGATCTAACCTGAGGCATGAGTTGCATGTGAATAATTGCCTTTTAGTTCCTAGATCGGTCTTCCTGTTTATTTTTGAAAAATATAATTTACTAACTAAAGGAATTAGATAATTTGCAATATGTTATTGAATTGCTTCAATTTTGAATTTTTCTTTCATTCTTTAAGTTTGTTTGAGATAGAGTCTCATTAGGCAACCTTAGCTGGCTAGGAATTCCCTCTGTAGGGCGGGGTGGCCCTGAACTCACAGAGCTCTGCCTGCCTCTGCCCCCAAGTACTGGGATTAAATTGAGCGTGTGCCACCTTAGGAAACCCATCCTTTAATCTGTCTTATTTTCTTATAAATTTGAAATTAGATAGGCCTAGAAGCTTAATTTGGTCAAGAATAGGTGGTGAATATATATAGATTTCCAATTGTTTCATATCAGGGTGTATGCAATGCTTGATTTTCTTATGATATTAAACTTTACTAATTAGTTCCACAGTAGTCAGCGTCATCTGTCAGATTTCCCTCTTAAGACTTCTATCTAGTGGCTTTAGAAACTATGGATTGATGTTTCCTACTTAGAGCAAGTGTGTGTGTGTGTGTGTGTGTGTGTGTATGTGTGTTGTGTGTATTATATGTGTGTTGTGCATGTATTTGGGTAAGTTAGAGACAGCTATCAGGTGTCCTCAGTCATTCTCCACTTTGACGTTTGAGACAGGGTCTTTCAGTGTCCCTGGGGCTTGTGGTTTCAGATACCGTAGCTGGCCTGTGAACTTCAGGGATCCTTTTGTCTCTGCCCCTCCTCCCAGGGCCAGAGTCACAGGTACAAGCTGTCCTCCTGGCTTCTACACCAGTGCTGGGATCTGAGCTCAGGTCCTCATGCCTTCATGGCAAGCACTTTCCCCCTTAAACCAAGGGCTAGTGTTTACTGGTGTTTCTACAATGGAAAGTCTTGACATCTTTTGTTTCCTAATGCAATTTAACAAAACAGTTTCTGTTAAGTAGACTTTTTGGCATGGGAGGGGGTGGTGTGGACTTTGTGGCGGCTCTTGCCTTTAATCTTAGTACTTGAGAGGCAGAGGCAGGATCTCTGTGAGTTCAAGGCTTGCTTCTTAACAGTGACTTCCAGGACAGCTAGGACTGTGTAGATAGAAAGCACTGTCTCAAAGGAAAAAAAAAAAAACAGAGGACAAGAAGAGGAGGAGGAGGAGGGAGGGAGAAAGGAGGGAGAAGGAAGAAGAAGCTTTTGCAGCTCTTTGGACCCGGGGATACAGTGTGCATAGGAAAAGCCAGACAAATAATTCGTTTGTTAGTTCTCAAAGAAATCAATTCTCGGACAGCTTCAAAAATTAAGCAGTGTTTTTTTTTTTTTTTCTTCTTGAAAGCACACTGATTTGAATTCACTTGCATTTACCTCCTAGTTGTTGAATTTTTGTTTTTTATTTATTTAGAAAATGTCGTCAAGAGCATCAGTGAGCATAATTTTTTTTAAAAAAAGGACTGACATCTCCTTAAATATTGCTCCCCCCTTGCAGTTTTTATTAATGCATGTGTCTTTTGAGACTTTCATGCGTGTATATACTGCATTCTGGTCCTGCTCAGCGCTCAGCCTCTCCTGCCCTCTCTGCCTAGCCCTCCCCTCCTAGAGTCCCCCTCCGTCTCCCAGCCCACTGGGCTTGACTTTAACCTGGCCACCATGGGCATGGAGGTAGAGAATGGGCTGTCCTGCTGACTGAAGACAATGACTTCCTCTCTTCAGCAGCCTTCGACTTCTCGTAGCTCCTGGGAAGAGCTGGGCTCCAAGAATGTTGACAGGTCCAGTCCTATGTAGGCCCTGTGCAAGTCACCCAGTTGCTGAGAAGTGTGGGTACGATGGCCATGTCTTGCCTAGAATACAGTCCTTTGTGCCCCTTCCCCCTGCCATCTGGCTCCCACAGTTTTTTCTGTCCTATCCTCTAACGCGTTTCCTCAGCCTTGGAGCGTGGGATAGACATGCTCCTTAGAGGGCACCGGAGTCTGCTTTAACCACCCTCTGCAAAGAGAGGCTTCCCTGAGCCACACCGAGGGAGCGTTAGTCCATGCGTGTAAACACAGATAGATGCCTGTCTCAGAGCTCCCATGACTCTGGCCTTCCCAGCCGCAGCCTTTGGTCAGGTCTGCAGTACAGGGCATGAACTCTCCTTTGGAGCAGGCCTCAGGTTCTGCTATAACTCCATAGCAGTCATAGCACTAGTGCAGCAGTGGACACACTTGCCTGGTGGGTCGAGTTGTGGCATGTAAGGTCCACAGCTGGCTTACCACCATCAGTAACTTCTCTCTCTCAGCCGCTCGAGTAGCACCTTCCTATACTAGGAAAGCTAGCTAACGGTTCGAGTGGTCAGCTCATTTCCAGCTTGGTTTCCTTGTGTCCCATAACCAATGTGTGTGGTGTCATTTGCAGGGGAATTTTACCATTTAGACGAAATGGAGATTACAGTATTGCATTGGGGGTCTTTGGTAGGGTCATGGCCAACCAATAGGAGGGAGGTATTCCATAGTTACTATTGGGATTTTGTTGAAAACCTTATGGCTTCTACCCATTATCTACCCACTTTAGTTAGGTTGTAAAGTAGTAGGTTTCCATATGGTTTCTTTTTACACCCTTACTTTTGGTTAACCCTTTCCCTACCGTATACTCATCCTCACTCTTCCACCCTCCTTGTTGATAAGCCTCCCCTAAACCTTGTTTAAACCTAATATTTCTTCCCTTAAATTCATATCTCATGTATTCTACTATGCCCACCCCTAAGAGTCCCCTCCACATGATCTATGTGGAGCTTCCTCATCTCAGACAGGCTAAATGAAACGAATCTAAGACGTTGAAGCTCTGACCTGCTTGAGAAATAACATGCAACATGTGATGTCCTGGGCCTGGGTTATCTCAGTATAATCTTTCCAGTTCTATTCATTTTCTTGCAGATTTTATGATTACAGTTTATTTTCAGCCCAGTAAAATTTACTATGTGTATGTGCCACATTTTTCGTGATGCATTGGTTGGTTGATTTTATTCCGTAACTGTTCTTTAATAAAGTGGTAATAAACATGGATGTGCAGGAGCTGTGTGTGGGGTATAGAGTCCGGGGGGACACGCAGGGAGGGGGAACTAAGTCGTATGGTAGTCGTTTTTGTTTTTTGAGAACCCTGCAGTCCGGCTTCCATAGTGGCTGCCCCCCTTTACGTCCCTGCAGTGTACATTGGGAGGCCCCTAAGTCACACATCCTAGGCATCGTTTGCTGTTGTTTGTTTTCTTAACGACTGCCTTTCTGTCTGAGGTAAGGTAGAAACTCACTGTAATTTCTTTAACAGGAAATGTATTTATTAAGGAGATGCAAAAAAAGAAAAAAAAAAAGAAATCACTGGTAGCAGCTGGGCCATGGTGTAGAGAGCATTGCCCTCTATGTAGTTTGGATTTGCATTCCTTTGGTGACTCATCATTTTTGAGTGTTTATTTATACTTCACTTTTGCCAACTGTCATTCATTTCAGTTAATCAGACCACTTATTGATTAGGTTGTTTTGTTTTCTTACTGTTCTTTGTATATTCTAGATATCTTCGGTCAGATGCATAACTGCCAAAAATTAAATTAAAGTTAATTTTAAAGGCAGATAATCTTTTTGCATACTGAAATTGATTTCTTAGTCTTTGGATTATAGGTGATTATTATGTTGTTTTTTCCTAGTTTTTAAAAAATTTGAGATTATGGTATGACTACAGCATTTCCCCTTGCCTTCCCTTTCTCTGAGCTCTCCAGATGTGCCTCCCGCCTCTCTTTCAGACTCTTGGTATCTGCATTCATTGTTATTGCCCACACACACCCTCACACTCACAGACACACACATGCACATACACATGTGTATACACACACCCTCACACACAGACATACATACACACATACACATATGTATACACACACCCTCACACACACAGACACAAACATGCACATGTACATACACATATGTATACACACACCCTCACACAGACACTCACATGCACGTATACATGTGTATACACACATCCTCACACACACAGACACTCATGCACATACACATATGTATACACGCACCCTCACACACAGACACACGCATGCACATACACATATGTATATACACACCCTCACATACAAACACTCACATGCACATGTACATGTGTATACATACATCCTCACACACACAGACACTCACATGCACATACACATGTGTATACACACACCCTCACACACAGACACATACATGTACATACACATATGTATACACACACCCTCACACTCACAGACACACACATACACATATGTACACACACACACACACAAATATGTATCCCCAAATGTAACCTGTTCCATATAATACTACTTGAATGTATTTTCAGGGCTGACCATTGCCAAATGGACCACCCCGTTCCTGGGAGTGCTGTTTTGCTTGTCCTTAATAAATCTACATTTCCTCTGTTAAAGAAATTACATTGAGTGTCTGCCTCACCCTAGTAAGAAGGGCATCCATGAAGAAAACAGCAACAGATGGTGCTGAGGATGTGGGCCACAGGGTACCCTTACACACTGCTGTAACCTTATGTCCCACAGGAACTCCTGAACCGAAGACTCAAGGTTCATTGTGGAAGATGGGGAGGAAAGAGCCAGAGGATCGGGGGCTTTGCTGTGAGAGTGCATCTCCTAGGATTGTGTTATTCTTGATTTGTCTTTTGATTTGTAGCATATTGTATTTATAATGGATTTTAAAGCTGATTTTTAGTGTATTGTCTAATTTTTTATGGTAAAGATTAGTTGTCACCTATGGGTCATAAAGTACACATCAACAATACTTTAGAATGTAAACTGTGGACCAATTTTAATGTAAATACTCAAAAAATTTTTTGCATTGGCCAGGCATTGGTAGTGCACGCCTTTAATCCCAGCACTCGGGAGGCAAAGGCAGGTGGATCTCTGTGAGTTCAAGGCCAGCCTGGTCTACAGAGTAAGTTACAGAACAGGCTCCAAAGATACACAGAGAAACTCTGTCTCAAAAAACAAACAAAAAATTCTGCATATTGTTTCTTTGACAGGTCACAAAGACAGAATTGGAGAAATTAAAATCCAGCTATCGACAATTAATAAAAGAAATGAATTCTGCCAAAGAGAAATATAAAGAAGCCTTAGCCAAAGGTATGAAAGCATTAGAAATAGTGTGTACTGTGATGGTTTCTATTCTGGTCTGCAAATAGATGCCTTTGTGTCTAATTTAGAGCAATTTATATTCTAAAATTTCAAAAATATATCACAATAGGCTGCTGGACTGCTGCAACTTCATTTTCTTGTTTCAAGAGCTTCAGCGTGATTCTGATTAGTTCACATTAGCAGAGGTGTGTAGTGTTTGTAAAAGGAAGCTATATATAAGTATATATAACTCCTGCATTCCATTACTTATTAAAATATTAAATGAGAAACAATAGTGTGCTGTATGTTTAGAAGTATTTTCAAACCTTTTTGCTTATAGCATTAAAACAGAAAAATCATTTTGTAGCTTACCACGGTCATTATAGTTAATTTTCATGTTAATATCGTCCTAAAACTTTCATAAAGTCTTAGGTGGAAAAAGGGGAGTATGCTTTCTCTGTTTACATAGATATTCATAATTCTAGGTATGTCCTGTGTATTCACACAGTTTAATGTAGGGTTTTGTGAGTGTTGGGTTTCTGTAGAGAAGTATCCTGATCAGTAACTGCAGCAATGGTGCAGTGTCCATTTCTTAAAACTTTCTTTCTTACTCAATAAAACTTCCCTAGACACTATCTTACACATTCTTAACTTACCTTTCTCTTTACTAGTGTATTTTATATATCTTGTTATGTATCTGTTGTTCTGTGGGAACGAATGAGGTCGATTCCTCTTCTTGGCTATAATTTGAACAATGGAGCTATGGCTCCTGTTCTCATTAGACTAAGTAATGCTAGGAGTCACCACCCTCCTCCCCCTCCTCAGCTCCCTTCTTTCCTTCACCTCCCTTTCATGTCTCCTCCTCAGCCTCCTCCCACTCCATTCCCATCACTTCTCACTCTGTTTCTTACTCAATCTCAGTAGCTCTGTATAGAGAAAATAGATCATGGTCATAGGTGTTTTTTACTTTATGTACTTCCACGCACCTGAACTATTTTGAGATTGGCATGTCCTTATTAATTTGGGGTTTTTTCATGTTATTTTGAAGATGATTTTAGGTACTCAGAAAGCATTCTTTGGCGTGCTGCACCATCTCCTGCCCCCAGCTCTGCTTTCTTTTTCGATCTGTCTGCATGGTAACTTTGTATAGTTGACTGCCTTATCCTTAGCTAGGCCTCTCCAGTTTGTTAATTACATTATAAACATCTGTGAGGCAGCACCCAGAGTCAGCAATGACTGACGTACTGTACCCTAATTCAGTTCTCCTCTCTTTTCACACGACTTTCACGTCTGTTAGACAATGACTAGTAAGGAAAAGAAGTTCGTCCCCAGTCTTGGATACCTGTTTTTAATGGTGCAGAGCATTTTTGTTTAAACAAAGTCTATGTTGTGATGTTTAAAACAGTTTTTTGTTATTAATGCTTATCTTACAGAAATTTGGTTTAGGTTGTTGTTTTTGAGCCTGGTGAAACACTAGTAGCAAGTCAGTGAGAACATCTGAAGACAATGCCTTCAGTTGCCTAGCTCCTTCCCTCCCTCGCCTCTCCATCTCCCTCCTCCCTCCCTCCCTTTGCTCCTCCATCTCCCTCCTCCCTCCCTCCCTCTGCTCCTCCATCTTCCTCCTTCACCCCTGTCCCTCTCTCCTTTTCTCCACTCTTCTCTTTTCTTTCTTTCTCTCTTCCTTATGCTAGAGATAGAACCTAGGCTAAGTTCTGTACCCCTAAACCCTGAAAAACTCTTACACAGGTTTACAGACTTTAAGTTCATGATGGGAGACTAGTTGAAACCAGAACCATGTGATTTCAGTGTCTGTAGTCTTGTTAGTTTTGCTTCTCCTAATGAAGCTCCAGAGTTCCATATAGCATCATTAATGAAAATGGAAGACAAAAGCACTTTAACTTTTAGATGGCTAGTAACCCACATGTTCTTCTCTCATTTGTGTTGAGAGTTGTCTATTCTCAAATATTTTGAGCTCACTGTTTTCCCCGTTATATTCATGCCATGGAAATGGAAATATGTATCAGTTTCACCTCTATTCTTATGTTTAGGCACTAACAATTCTAGATGTATCACCCTTAAACACTAACTAAAATTGGTTTTAGGATTTTATATGTATGAGTGTTTTGGCTGTGTGTAGGTATGTGTGCCATCTGCGTGTCTGGTGCCCACAGGGTTCAGAAGAAGGCATTGGATTCCCTGCGACTGGAGTTAGAGGCGTCTGTGAGCCACTGTGTGTGTTGGAAACCCAACCTGAGTTCCTTAAAAGAGCCGTTTCACCACTGAGCCATCTCTCCAGCCCCTAAAACATAGTTTTAAGAATGTCACGAATGCTAATTTCACAAAATTTAAGTAATACCATACTGAAACAGATGGTATTAAATAAGGTGAACTTAAATATGGTTTCACTGGAAGTTTTATAGTTTACTTGAGGATATATTGAAGAATGAGAAAAGATGTTTAAACAAATTGCTTGCTAATTATGTATTCAGTTGCAGCCTACCTAATTGTCTGTGTAGCTAGATTTACTCTAGAGTTTTGTATTTACCAAGCCTCAAAAATACTCATGCTAGTGTGTGTGAAGCCTTCTCTTGTATGAGTGTAAGCATGAGTGCTTCTGCGCTCTCTCCCCCCTGAAAAGGAAAGACAGAGTCATGACACACAAGCCCAGTACCGCCAGCCTAGAAAGGCTGGAAGGATCTCATCACTCTCTTTTACTATAAAAGTGGGATTCGGCTCCTCTTCCTACTTATCCTTTCATTCTGAGCGATTGACTTGCCCATGATCATTCCTTATCCTGTGCAGACCGAATATGAGGGAGCCATGGCCGGAACAGTACGCAGTAGCTTCAGATCTCATTCTAAAGAAAACCTTCCTGTAATTGGGACGCAGATTTTTCTTAAATTGCCTCTTTATGCATTATGAATAGTTCTGTGATATTTTATAGCCAATTAAAATTGATTAGATCCTTGAGTTATTTCTTTAGAATACTTTAATCATGAAAACCAGTTTGGAATGAGTCCAGCCTTGAGACAGATGGCTAAATTTATGTTTAAATAAATCTAAACTTGAAGAAAATGAGCAAGACTTTGTAAGGTTCATTACTTGATTTCATCAAAGGAGTCACAAAATAGCCAGCCATCATTCTGATACGATTTATATATTAAGAGTCATATATGAGTGGTGAATGAGAGTCTTCTAGAAAATATTCTTGAAGTCAAATTTATATCATCTCAACTCACCTGATGTCTGAAATGCATTTTGGATATCCTAGTTGCAATTAACTCATGGCATGAACTTTTCACTGCAGGGAGTTCAATATGACCGGAACTTTACAGGGTCATTGAGAGTCAAGGCCCTCCTAGTTACTAACCTAACCTGCATTGTGTTAAATATGTAGAAATGCAGTGGCTGCTTAGATACTCTCCTTAAAGGGCTGAAATGGAAAGACTGTGTGTTTTATTTGTGTTCCTTATATAAAGTGAAAATACAGTGATTTGTTCCTACCTTGTTTATTTTTTGTATGTCTGAGTGGCACCTAGACACATGTAAGAGAAGTTACTATCTTTGGCTCATCTTTGTCTGCATTTGTGAAGCTCTGTTGGAATGTTAGTTTTGGACTTGAGTTACTAGAGAGAAGACATCAGAAACTAATATCAAATAGTATAAACAGCAGCTGGCAAATTGTAACCTTCCTTAACTATAAAATGAAAAATCTGTTTTGTAGCTTGCCTTCCTTCCTTCCTTCCTTCCTTCCTTCCTTCCTTCCTTCCTTCCTTCCTTCCTTCCTTCCTCCCTCCCTCCCTCCCTCCCTCCCTCCCTCCCTCCCTCCCTTCCTTCCTTCCTCTTTGGAGGTCTGTCACCCAGCTCCCAGATAATACACGGAGACTTATTCCTACTTCCGAATACCCTGACTTAACTTGGCTTGTTTCTAGCTTTTCTAACTTAAATGATCCCTTTTCTCTTTAACTACATTTTGCCTCTGGACTTTTTAACCTTTCTTTATTCTGTATATCTTTCCTTCTTCCTCTGTGGCTGGCTGTGTGGCTCGAGACTTCCCCTCCTCTTTTTCTTGCTCCTCTGTCTGTCACTCCAGTTTCAGGAGATCTGGCATCCTTCTCTGGCCTCTGTGGATACCAGGCATGCACACAGTGCACACACATACATACAGGAAAACACTCATGCATGTTAAAGGAAAGTAGTAAAAATCTTTAAAAAATTCAATCGTGATTAGTATGGTGGAGAAAGATGAAACAGGTAGATATGGCGTTGAGGATATTGTCAGGTTAGTGTTTGGAAGAGTAACGAGAGACAAAGGAAGTAAGTGGGTTGATCATGTGTTCTAGACCGGGTGTCTAGGGAGAGAGAGTAGCCTACGTGTTGTCAGCTGCGTCAACTGCTATGGAAAGGTACGGATTGTCGAGAGAGGAGCAGATGGCATGAGAGGTGGTGTGGGATACTTCAGATCTTTCTTTACGTTAAACACTGACTTTTCCTGAGTGATATGCCATGCTGTTGGAGGACTGTGAGCAGAGAACTGATGTTATTAATAATCTTATTAATAAGATAGTTCTGATAGACTTACCGGGACCAGTCTACTTACTCTTAAGCTACTGCAGTGTGATCCAGTCAACGGTCATCCCGGATGGAAGGAGGGGTGATAAGAATGTCAAATCTGGACAATTGATGTGCACACACAGGAGTCCTCTGAGATGAGAAGGGCATCAGATCCTCTGGAACCAGGTCATCATGAACCCCCCCAGTGGGTGCTGGGAATCCACGCTCCTAACTGCCGGACCATTTATGGTGGCTGTATTCTTTAAAGTCACTGAGAACTGAACTAGTAAATGATTGGTGCCCTTAGGGAAGGAAAAGGGTTAATTCATACATGCAAGATCACATTTTCCATGTATACATATATATATACACGCATATATATTTATGGTGTGTGTGTGCATGACATCTTGTTTAGTATATAGTACAGCCAATAGTACTATAATTTGTGATTAAAC